CTTAAAGTAAGCATTTTGACAATAATTGTTTTCAAATTGCGCTCTTTGTCTTTCTCTTTGGAAAAAAAACGGTCTCGAGATGGAAATCGATTTCGCGAAAATTCCGGAATAAGTAGAAATATTTCCGTTTGGTCAATTTTTATTTTTAACAAGCGTAGATAAATGTCATACGAGTCGGTGCGCGTGATGTCACGATTTGACACTCGCGTGAGCGAGCATATTCGCACGCGCGTTTAACAGTCGTGGCAAGGCCAACCTACGGGTTGGCTCGCGATTGGTTGTGCCGGCATCGTACGATGGTCCCATCTCGCCTCGTTATAAATACAAGCCCTAACCAACCTCTTCCTGTTGTAACGGCGTGCATGCGTGTATGCCTGCGTGCGGGCATTAAGATGAGCCGTATGCACGCACGTATCGGCTGCTTATTGACTAAAATATTCAATAGATTAATTTTTCAAATCGACGCAGCAAATTTCTAGCGAGTGAAGAGAAAACAAACGAATTATGTATACCGAAGACAATATATAAAGTCGTATAAAAAGCACGATGTTCTTTCTTTACAATAGAACTGTTGACGTAAAATTGGATTGTTTATCACTTGGAAATTAAATCGAAAGCTGCGTAAGACGAATTTCAAACAATTGCGTGCGTGATGAAACGGTAACGGAGATCTGGAGAGATATTGTTGTAATGACTTCCACACGCGACATAATTACGCAATACGAATTGAATTAAGTGATGTACGAAGTGTGGAGAATGTAATAAAAATGTTAATTATGGAATTAATTATGATCGTAATTACTACTGCGGAATACGAGTCGATTACTAATCAAAATTGTTATTAGATACGATTAAAATTGGAATTGCCATGATTTGTGTAATTCTGAATAATAGATCGATTCATTCTGTTGGAGAATCACTGGTACGAATAGAATTACACGCGGAACTCTTCTGTCCTGTCGTAAGCCGGTACTTTTCTCACGAGTGATATCTTTAGCGGAGCGGAGGAAGCAAGTGGGGAAGAGAACGAAATGCGATCGGAGATGAGAAAATGGGTTACGATATATAGAGGGATGACCATCTCTGAAAAGGATGTTTATACGTTTGTTCATTTATCCATTGTGAAGACAAATATTAATAAATTACGATAATTGCAATTATTGTGTAGCCTATGTTTTAATTGAAAAATTTTATTACCACTTATATTGAAAGTGATTACATAATATTTACGTTATTTATAATTCTCAGGAAGAAAGTGTATCATGTTAAAAAGTACAATTTAAGTGGTACTATACCTTTTCACGAAAGGTCTCTTCTTACTTCTCAAGTAGCTTTTAATTCTCCTTCAAAAATTATTATATAAAAACTGTTATACATATATATATCACAAAATTTACTCAACTCAACTAATTTCATTAGAGACAATTTTATTTTCTCAACCCAAGTGATGCAATACGTGTATCATTCTTGTATAAGATGTGATATCATACTAAAAATAAGGTGATTATACGATTTTTACGAAAGTATTTATAGTAGTGATAAGAATTTCAAAAAGAGAGTGTATTGAACTCTCTATCGTTGCGTCATTCCAATTGACGACTGCATAAATCGTTCGGACAAGTCCCGTTGGAACGGAGCTATTTGTTTAATCATCGAAGGACAGATTTATCACGGGCAGACGACGCCCGTCGTCCCATTGTTGCATTCGGTTTGCAAAACAATTGCGTCGCTATATAGAGTAGGCCGTGGCCAGTTTCGCGGACGGCTCACCGAATCGTTTGGTCGTTACCGCGATAGTCGGTCGAGCTCTCCAATAATTTCGATAGTTTGTAATTAAATTTAATGACGTTGGTCGCCGACGCCCCGCACGAGGGATTAGTCGCGTAGTTTGTCGCACGCATCACCAAATCGATGCGTAATGACCATATTGCGCGATGCGTCCTACGATGCCATCCTCTTTTCTCGTAGAATTTATATATCCGGGGAAACGCAGTTCCCTTACCGTGTGGTAAGAGTTTACTCGGTAAAGAAACTTGTAGCTTGTGTCGCGAAACAATAAATAAATATATATATAAATCTCTTCTGGGACGAATTGTCCTATTAGACTCGAGGAGATTGAAAGAAACACGAGGTTTCTTTCAATTCTTTCCAGTCTGACGGGACAATTCGTCCCGCAGTTGAAGATTTATATGTATTTATTTATTGTTTATCGCTCAAATATTTTGCAAGCGTCTTGAGTTGTATATCTCGTGTACCCTAAGTCAGTGATGTTGCTCACTGAATTTATCGAATAAATTTTTAAATGAATAAGACTCCTGTACCTTACGGTAATCTTTTTCTTTTTCTCGAAACTTTATCTTGTTAAAGGTAAATTTTAATAGTAGAATATGCGATTCTTCTCTTCAAATAGGACGAGGTTCGTATTTATCGTAATATGTTTTAGCAATCTCATGTCTTGGTAACGATGTAGCATCAGCAGCAGCAGCAACTACAAACATTAATTTGCAATGTTTATCTGAACGCACGCTATGTTTACAAATGCGATGTATAGATTGCAAAGATTATTCAATATCTGTATTACGTGAACAAGTAATGTATTTTGAGATATTAAAAGCAATGATTTCTAAAAGCGTCGATTTAGTAGTCTGAAAGTAAAATTGCAGAAGGAGAAGTTTTACAAAACTCCTCCTCCTCTTAGGTATACAGGAATCAGTCTAAATTGTTAATTCGCGTGTTCTCCTTTTCTGATTTATACGGATACCGCTTCGTTTCTATTATATTTCACTTCGTCGTCATCTTCTTAAGCTAAGTAAGATCTTTTGCATAAAACATTTGATATCTCGAATAATTTATAAGATATATCGACATAGGTAATGGACGTTTGAACATTTCCATCGGGCTTTAAATATAACACTCGTTTATTTCACTTTTTCACCATGTCGGTGAGATGTAACGTTACTTTCCATTAGCAGCACCATCACGCTTATACAGAAACTCTATATTAGAGCAAACATATATGGGATGGAAGATGATAAGGAAGAAGAGTTGCAGGTGTTACACAGAGAGACGAAGAGCAGTGGTCCTACCGCCAGTTCTCTTTTATTACCTAGAAAGTGGCACTTCCGGGTAATCGGTTTCGAGCGGAAGTTATAAGTTCATTTGGTGGTATCGAGAGAAAAGTCGATCTTGACCCCGTTCCTCTCTCTCTCTCTTTCTACTTTACCCTTTCCTTACAATAGCTTGTTTATTACGAGGAAAGTGTAAAGCTCTCTTTTGAAAGTACTTAATAATTTTGCGGAGAATGTTCCGAGATTCGCGCCCTCCCCTTTAAAAGCCAGATACGATGCTCCTTTAGCCTGCTAGAGTGTTTGTACAGAATGTTCCGGCATCTTCGACTTTAATTTAGTGACGGATTCTTTGATCAATTTAGAGTCGACCTTTTCTTAATTAAGATCTCGAGGCACCGATAATTTTCGAGATACATCGACATTCTGGAGTGTAATTAGAAGGAAAATCATTCCGTTATGTCGTAGATTCATAAACTTTTTTTTTTGCGTATTTCATCTCGAGATTTATTACTAAATGAGAGTTGTTGAAAAAAGTTGAGACGCAAACTTTTTCCCAAATTTTAGATTTGCAAGACAAATCGACTTTAAATTTGCAAAACTATCTTCCATATTAAAATGGGAGCAAAGTGTCTTTAAGCACCGAGTAAATGTACGTATATATGTATAATATTCGCGAACTGTGCATATGGCGCGTAATTGGTAATGAATTTCCAAAAGTTGGAATGAAAAGCACGACGAAAGCACGACTAAACTAGCAAACGATGCTACCCCATTAAATCCAAATCAACTTCCTAATATGAACGAATGGTTTTTCGCCAACGGCACATGACGCCGTGATAATATCGCGCGCCATTCGTCATCATTAGTTCGGACGGCGAATGCATTTCCTGTGTTTTTTATCCTGCATCCCAAATTCGCGTGTGACCACCGATACTCACACACGAACAACGCTAGCGCGTCTTATGTGTGTGGCCGCCGCCGCCGCCGCCGCCACCGCCACCGTCGTCGCTGCCGCCGTAATTTCATTTTCAAAATTCAGACACAAAAGACTTTAACAACTTGGTTCAGAACCATTATAACAGATGATAGACAGGTAAAGGATGAAAGATGAAGAAAACGGGCTTGATTTGAGCGGTTCACAAAAATATGGGAATACTATTTCTGTTTTTGTTTAAAAGCAAGTTGAAGCGAGATTTATTTTATTAAGTATTTAAATTTTTCTAGTAAAAATTTTATCAAACAGAGTGATGCAGGGAAAAAGTCATTTTGCTCAAGCATCTAAAAATTCAGCTAGATAAAGGCTTGAAAATAATTTTGTTGGACTATCAAAGTAATTAGGTAGAAATTTCAAGCATTTTTGTGAGCAATTCTGCAAAAGATTTTGATATTCCAACAACCTATGGTTTGAGCGTTCTATACATAATTATTTTAATAGTTGAACAAAATGATTTTCAGATTTGTATATATTTATAGTTATAAATTTATATAAATATTTCAGCAAAACTTCCTTCTGCACGGGATTCTTTTTCCAAATATAATATTGTATAAACTTTTAAGTACAATGTCTTGCTAGATAGACGTATACGATATCTCGTGATACGACAACTCCGTCGAAATGAGAGAATATTGGAGATCCGTCCGAGTATGAAGTTCTAGGTGCAATCTGCATTGTTTCCACGTCAATTAAACTTGTTTGATATTTCCGCTGCAATCACGCCGCAACGGCAACATCGATTCCGCGTGCTCGTCGCGCGCTTAATCGAATTCGAGAAACAGCGCTGCTCTTTGCGATTCCCTTACTAATAACATTGTTATCGATGGGAACGACGTATCGAGTCCCTGTTGCCTCTTACATTTCGCGAACCGACCACGTCTCTCCCTCTCTCTTTCTCTCTTGTTAGCTCTAACCCGATTATCGCGTTTCTGTTTCAGTGCTTGCTAGCTGCCGAGGTGAAGAGTGCGGACACGAGGAACTGGTGAGGTGCGCCAGGCCCCTTGAGAGAATCAGCAATAGCGACTTGAGTTTCGTCACGAAAAAGGAGGATATCAACAAACTATGCCCGTGAGTTTTCCTCTCTCTCTCCCTACGCCCGCACGGACGATCTCTTTAAGCGGAAAACGTCCGTTGTTATTCGCCGTCTTTACATGTTCCATGAGAGGAAGACGTCGGTGCGGGTTACGCTGACGTTCCGTTTCGTGGGGAATTTCGTGACGGTCTACCTCCTCCGGTCTTCCTCTTCCACACTTCTTCTCGCGCGCCACGGGAAATTTTTCTCTACGAGAAAAATGTCCAGTCGTTTCTCTCTCTTTTCGCACTTCATATCAATTTTAAGAACGTGCGGGAATGCTCGCGCTGTCGCGCCGAACTCTCTGCAGCGAGCTTAATCGCGCTAATTGCGACGTCGCGGGGGACGAAAGATATAAGGAAATATATGTATAATATAAACAAGGGTTTATTGCATTTTGACGAGTTTACAATGATTTCAGAACAATTTTTCTCATTACACGCGTATTTAAAATTCATAACTCGCGTTAAATTCCCTGCGCGCAGCATTTCGTCGATATTTATATCTCCGCGTTTATCGTTAAAAAGTCGATTGATGATTTTCTGGCGGCATGACTCTTCGATCTCTCGCAAAATTGGAAATTGATCCGAGAATAATATACGACATTCGGCTTTAGTCTATTATACCCGTCCGAATTCGCGATCGTATCGAGGTCCCTGCCACCGGCTTATCACAATTCGGCGATGCTCGATCGCTCGAATCTCTCTCGCGCCGTCGAGTCGGCGCGGTACGTATGTAATTGAGTGGATGATTGCATGCAAGCTGCCGGATATTTCGCACGATATTTCCAGCTCCCAGTATTCGACGAAGAATCTTATTACGGCTGCAATTTAGCCGTTCCGACGATAGCGCGCCGGGCCAAGAGGAAATTCGGCTCATTTCATGGAACTTTAAATTTCATTCAGGCCTGATATACCCGTGCGTGCCCGGCGAGCCATGTATAGCCGATATGACAAATTATTAATCACGTTGCCCCATATCGTACAAACGCGCGCGTTTCCTTCCGTAGTCAAATTGCCACTACTAGTATAAAAATTGCGCTATATCGCACCATTACGTCTCACTCTTGTTTGTTCTTTGATGCGATGGTTCTTCTACAAATCACACGCAGGCGCTTTGCATTATCAATATTAAAGATAAGATGGAACGTGCGTCATGCATATATGTCTTTATTAGTTACCTGATATGTCGAGAAACTGCAGTTGGAAAATTTCTACATTGCGCAAATATCGATCTGTTCTTGGATGCTTCAATGCGGCTTTCTATTCGAGATACAACATGACATTGGCCTGTATTTATAGTCGCGTTTGTGCTGAGCAATTCAATTTGGAAACGATCTTGAGAAATAACACGGTTCGATAGATAGATCTTGAAAGTCAATTTGATATTCGTGATATCATATTTATAATCGCGATTCCATTGAGGAGGCTTGTCTTGAGATACGGTCCGAGTTTCTCGTTTGTTCCATCGAGTCCTGAGACAAAATTGTATTGTATAATAACGTATATATATATACGTATGTATATACGTATGTATATTGCCTTTGAATATTTTGTCTCATTTAATTAAGTGAGGAAAGATTGCGTTGCTCAACGCGAAAGTTATTTGAAAAGACGTTTTAAATTAGAACGTGTTAATTAAAAGTAACAATGTTATATTCTTATTTTTATAAATTATTATTTTATCCGATAAGAAAAAATAAATATGTTATATATAAAACAAATTTTAGAAAAATTGGCAATTAATTAATTTTTTTATAAAAAAACACAAATGAAATACAGTTTTTATATAATTTCGAAGTTAACAAAACATTTTCTTAATCAATATTTAAATCAATAATACCGAAATTTATAAATGAAAAAAATAAAGGTAATTTGGTTTATCGGGTAAAATACATATATAACTGTCCTTTTTGCAATTGGATACATTTTGTAACACGATCTATACAGGTTGTTGACATGCAATCTAATAAAGTTATTTCTGCTAATTTGACGTATTTTTGCGATTTTATCGCTCACACTCGTAGTTCCTATTAACATACTTTCATTATTTTCCCTAGAAATTTCGAAACAGCGAATGTCTAAATAACGAGTGTTTCTCATTTTTGTTACAGGGATCTCGAGGCAGGCATGAAATGCATCAAAAGGTACACGATAAATTGCATGCAGCCGAAGCAACGGGATCATTTCAACTCTCTGTACACCGGTACCAACATGGCTATCATGGAGCTTTGCCAAGATGGCCCGTACCAGGACGGTGAGTGGCTCTTGCTTAAATCATCGAACCGATGAAATATTTACGTCTTCAATATATTATCATAATTACTAAGAGATTATCAAAGGAAAAGAGAAAGAAATTATTTTAGATATTGGACTTGCGCGGTTAAGTAAAGAGATTGTAGAATTTTTATTTAGCCAAGTCTATTTTTATATTTTACGTCTTTTAAAATTTTAACATATTTTGGAATTTAAATGGAGAAGGGACGAATACGGAAATTTTAAATAAAAATGCAGAAAGTTGAGGAATCGATAAGTAGAGAAACTCGTTACATCTCACGGCAAAAGTTAGGCAGTTGACTTTTCTATTAAAATATGCGATATTTTATATGTGTGTGTATAATTTGGAATTAGATTCTTATTTTTGGGGATCAAAGCTTTATTAAAAGTGGATCCATCTTTTGTAAATTGACGTAAATCTGATATTTTCGAAGAGAGAAATGTATAACGACGCAAAGTCATCCGGCAGTCGACAAAGCCAGCAACTCTTTTGTTGCCAATTGGGCAAGCGGTGGGCATCAATGCAATTCCAAACTGTCCGTCCAGTCAGAGATAGTACTAGACTCAATAATGCATCCGGCACTCTCGAGATTACGGGAATATCGTGTAGATTGTCCACGGGTCGATCGAGCCGGCATGACTCTTCATAATGTACTCTCCTCCGTTAGAGAGAGGGGCATTGTAACATAATGAATCGTTAGCAAGGAGAGTAATATTGATTCCTCATGCCGCATGCCGCGATAATGTATGTACAGCACGCCTATCGTAAACAAGAACCGGGAAAGCGGGGCCTTTATATTCAAATCCATGATCTCAAAGCATGACAAAGACTAGTGCGTCACTCAATGATCTATATATATATTCTGTTAATTATAAATTACCGGAATGTAAATAGCTTGACTTATTTTCTAGGAATAGAATTCAGAATAAGAGGAATTGTGCGATTGATTCTTAATCAACTTTATTTTGTATTTGCGAAGTAATTCAATTATCTATTTTCTAAATCAGAACGCGCGCGTGGATCTGACGATTTTATAGTTATTGGTATAAATTGAAATTATTATGTTCTGAAGAGAATTAATACATATGTATATATAGTCATTCTTTTTCGTAATATTAGATTATATATTTCCCCGTTTTGTCAAGTCGGCTTGATTGATCTCGAAATTTCATTATTGATACCTATGTTTCTACGAATACGCAATTGTTCGATAACGGAAATGCAATTTTCTGTTCACAGAATTCTTGAAGCACGCGCCGTGCATGCAAAAATCCAAAGCCGAGTACGAGCTGTGTTACAAATCGTACCAAAAGACGACTCAAGAAATAATGGCCAACCGCTCATTAGGACAACAGAATCTCAAGTCCCTTTGCTGGTAAGTCGAAGAAGTCTCTTTAGATATATGCATGTAGGAACGATGAGTAGAAAATAAGCTAAATAGATAGATACAGTTGCCATGTCGTTCGCTATTACTTCAATGTATATATCTACGAAAATAATTGAAATGCTTAATATAGAAGAAATAATACAGACAGATACGATGACATATCACCTTTCTTTGGGATTCCCGACACTTTATTATATCGTAAATGAAATGATGAATGTTGTATCATAAAATATACATACTAAGTATACATATATCATCTCAAATATATCTGTATATGTACACTTGACCGGAATTTCTACATCTTTGCAAATAGGATGCAACTCACAGTCCATTTACTTATCCAAGAAAGTTTGTTAGTTTGGCAACGCGGGAGGTAAACCTTAGAACTCAAAGCGCGAGTCAATTTGACCTAGCCACTTTTCAAAATGTAGGTGTAGACCCACGACTGTTTTGTCTGTATATACGTCTGCGGATTATTAACTTTTATATGTGAAAATAAAATACAGTATAATATTTGTATTATTTAAAGAAAAAGAATGCGTGTTTATTCAATGATTTATTTAAACAAATGGAACGAATAAATTTATTCCGCGTATTTATTTGTAAAAAAGAAATTACTGGATAATGAAATAAATTCACTATATTATAATAATTCATTTATCGCATAATTGTGTTAAATTGTAGATGGAATCGTAAAATCTATTAAAAATTGTGTTGTATTTGCTAATATTAATTTTTTATAAATAATCGATCTGTATGTGCAACTACATTAGTATTTTACGAAAATCAAATGTGAAGAAAAAGCATCCTCGTATTTCGAGTGCGTCTTACGCGCCGGGATTGTATGATGAGTTTTCTTTTTTCTCTAAGTCTACGTTAAATATCTAAGGAAAGATGGAGTTAAGATTATGACATGAAAGATCGACGGAGCGAGGCAAAATACGAAACGCGGACAAATAGGTTTAAGCAATACTCGAAATTCTGGCGTTTCGCATTAGCGCAAAGACGTAAAATCTCTCGACTGCGATAATTTAACACTTAAGAGCTCGCCGGCGAAACAACTGCATTAATAACGACGGGCGTTGCTCAAAGGACTCGCGCAAAAAGAGTGTAATCAGTCCTTTAGGTCGGAAGTTTCACGCTGATGCCTGTACAGACACACAGGGGTGTAATGTCATTAGCGTATCTCAACCACGGTCTACTGCAGCTTTTGAACTTGCGCATCCCTCGCGAAAGGGAGACGTAAGTAGTGCGATGCTGACCCGAAACTGAATAACAGGTTCGCAAAAGCACATTCCTCGCGTCATTTTGTTTCTTCGTCGTGCATGATTTAATTAAACCACATCACAAGCGCTCTCTTTCGGAAAGAGAAAAAATTACCCCACAAAAGATTGGCGAATTGCGAAAAAAATGAACGAGAACGTATTCTGTGCAAAGTTACGAATTTCATATCATTTTAAAATAATATTTTAGAAGAACAATGTGGGAAAATTTAAAAAAATCTAGTAGACAGTGTAATTGTAGCGCTAATGATTCTGCGTAGTGTTTCTCTAATTGTAATTCGATTTGTTACGCTCATTTGCGTTTTACAACAGTAATTCGATAACCCCCTTATTTCATTCCATTTTGGCGTTTGAAAAGGGACTTTGAACAGAGTATGGGATATTGTTTGTGCAGCGCCTTCCAGGAGTACTTGGAATGCTCTCATCATACGGTGCGCCGTCAGTGTGGCGATGATACAGCGCGATTCACGAAGGAGTTCCTCGATAGAATGTCAAGCTCGCTGCTGAAGGTGAGTTATACATATTTCATTTGACGTCATGTTTCATTGACGCGAAAGTACACGCTGAAGGCTTTCATTAATTGCTCCGTTTATAATTGATTTTAATTACTGTTGCGATATTGCCTTCGAAAATATTTTGATTTTATACGGCTCGTTTAATTTATTTTGACTATATTTGAAAGAGATGGAATCAATTTTTATATACTTTTTAATAAATTTGTTTTTTTTTAAATAAAATTTTAACATATGTCATCATGTATGTATTTTAATTTGTTGATCTTTGATACTTGATATTTTGATAATTTAATAACCTTCGAAAATTTTTTGATAGAACAAAGAAATAAAAGTTATTCCTTCGTATTATTTAACAGACGCACACGTAATATAAATTGAATCTTATTGTCGTAATCCTATAATGATCTAATCTTTAATAAATTGAAGTAATTTTTATTGTACAATAAAGCAATTTAAAAGTAGCTTAAAAAAATAAATTATCTCGAGTAATACCTATACTTGTATTATTTCCTGCTTTCGGAAATCAAGTACAAAGAGCCAAAGAAAATATTAAGCAAAATTAGCAAATGAACATCTTACATTTGTAAAATGATCATCTTAGCAAGTAGTAAGCTCAATAACAAAACCGGCGAATTAAAGGGAGGGCGAATTGTTTGTCTTGTTTGTTACAGGCGCACTGTGCGCCCTACACGGAATGTACCGTGAACAGCGGTATCTCAACGCTAAATCTTTCTGCCATTATGCCAATGACGCTTATCCTTTTTATGAGGTACTTCACGTAATTGGTCTCGGCCAAGATCATTTTTTATCTTCGAAAGATAGAAAATAGGGAAACGAGAGAGGGCGGGATATGTAGAGAAAGAGGATCGAGGAAGAAGAATGGTGCGATGAGAAGGGCGCTCCAAGAAGACGAGAAACTGGAAGTAGCCCGTTCGGCTTTTATCGTGCTTTGCTTCAGAGAGAATATATTCCTTATTTTCGAAGAGTTCTCGATGAAAGGTCGAAGAAGAGGCCGAAGCGATCAAAGAAGAAGAAAGGAGAGAGCATCAGGGCAAAAGAGGATATCCACAAGGGCTTGTGAGAAGAAGAGGGATATATAGAGGAGGAAAAATACGGCGTTTCTTTCTCCGAAGAAAATATATTTTTCATTTGCAAGATGATGTGCGAGAGATTGTAATAATCATGATTACGGAAGCGCAAGCAACAACAAGAGATCAGTATTAAAAGCCGAAGGAATGTTGGGGAGGAGGAAAAAATGCTTTAGAAATACGTTATGAAAGAGTTGAAGGAAGAGGGAGCGGAATCGCAGAAGAGGATTTTCAGGACGACTCTCTTCCACGCATGTCATTGAGATATCGAACGATAAAGCCGATCGTGACGCGATGTATCTGAAGAGTCTCTTCAGTCGATCGTTCAATGCGATCCGTTAGTCCGTACGATACCGTGACGCAAGACTGACTCGATTTTTGCGCGGTTTTGTCGCGAGAGATGAGAGAATGAAATAAAAAAAAGAATACTCCTTATTAACTGGCGAGATCCTTCGCGGATTGTCCTTTGGAATGGCCGCGCGCGCGTGCTGTTCTAACGTGAGAGTGCGAGTTTGATCCTCGAGAATACGTGGCGTTCGGATGAAGTCGGAGAAAAAGACGGCAAAGGTAAAACATTTATAGCGAGGAAGAAGGCAAACGTGTCTTTCCGGCACGTTTTCGCCTCGATTTCGAAAAAGAGCACTCGTGCGGAACGAACGAACTATCGTCGTCCAGAAATCAATTTCATCGAATAATCGCGATCTATCGATTCGCGAGAACAGCGTTAGAGGGAAGGAAGCCCAGCGAGAAGAGTCGTCTGAGTAGAGCAAAGAATTTCTACTTGAGCAGAAAACAGTGGATAAAATCACGGTGCGTTCTTTCGCGCGCGGGCATGTTTCGCTAGAAAATGCAATCGCTGTGTTGCCAATCGATTTGACGACGAGCACGTGTCGTTTCGCCAAAAGTTAGGGAAACATTAAAATTGACACGCGTTATCGTGACTCATCCAGAAAAAAAGAAGAACGGAAATTTTCAAGGGAGGATCGCGGTGTAACTAACTCGTCCTCGAGATAACGGCGGCGAGTCGATAGGTAACGAAGCTTCGAGCTAGGTATGTCAAACTAATTTTCCCTCCACGGATTATACGAACACTGTCGCAGTATATCTGGGGCCACGTACTTTCAATATTTGCGCGAAATGAGCGAGAGATCCGAAAGTTTGAAGAGCACTTTTTAATCTCATCGTCATAATGTGGCTTTTTTTAAAAAAAAAATTTAATTCTCTCTCATCAGAATGCATAGAATCACGAGGAATTTTGTGCAATTGAAAGACCGAGACAATTAGGACAAGTAAAAAGAATTACTCTTCGATAAAAAAAAAAGTGTCGTTTAATATCGCAAATAATATTCGTACGCGTAAACACAGTATTTGCAAAATGCTGTTGATACAAATGAAATAAATGGAACTCGAGAGGGGGTTTTGTAAGGCCACATTGTGGGTGACTTGCGGTGCATTTGACATGTTTGTTCGGGGCATGCCGGTTTGTACAAATTCAACATGTCAGACGAAATCCTAGCTAGACCCGGATATGGATGAGTCTATTTTTCTGAGATCTGATGTAGTGTTGTACGTGTTACCTATATATATAAAGACACACGCGCATGATCGCGATTGTACTCGCTGCACAAACGATATAGTATTAGCACTTGCATTGTCGTGTCTTAATTATTAAGTAGATGGAAGGAATGACTGTAAAAGAGACGGTGAGAAAGTATGTCTGGCCATATTTTCACGTCAAATCGATTTTCGGTGTTTATCGTGAAGACGTTACACCGTCATTATAAAAAAAATTTGTACATTGTATTATGTGTTTAGATAAATTTTATTCAAATAAAGTTTATTTATGTGTTGGAAAGATTTCGAGGAGAGGCACACATACTATTTCTAACATTTGAATGTTTCGAAAGTTATCGTAATGGCCGGCAAAACATTTATATACGTATGCAAAATAGGTTTTTCTTTTTTTACCAAAGAATTTAATTTACTTGACTAAAAAAGTCTTTTACGACATGTTTGTTACATTATGGTCCATGTCGTAAATAATTAATTGTAACCAATTGTTTGGTTTATGAGTTATTATAAAATCCATACGAGAAAGTCACGGCATTTAATCAAACGTGTCCCATTCATGCAATTATCGATATTTCTCTATTATCCTGCGCGCCGTGCCATTCGGAATATAATGCAGATTAATAATCTAGAAATTAAATTCCCTTCAACAGAGGGAGTTCGTTTATCGATAGCCTCACCCACATATATGTGTATAATGTGTACTCGATGTCGACATCGTTTGTAATTTATCATTTCCTAGAGAATTCGCGCTTTTAACGGTATAATGTTAAAATAAACTGCAAATTTTCTATGAGAGAGAGAATACGTTTTTATTTTTAAGTTTTTCAAGAGTCGTGGTAAGTCTCCCCGTTTTATCGGGGGATACCGCGTGTGGTATGTATGAACAGATATTTATTTGTAATATATAGTTAAGTAAGGAAGCATTGTAAATATCATCGAGCTGTCGAGCTTAAGAGAATGTAAGATAACTTAAATACATTCACAATAAAATCCATTATATTTTTATTTAAGAAAAAAAAAAAAAAAAATGAAAGAGGAGAGAAAGCTCTGCACCTGTCCCGTTAATTCCAACACTGTCGCGACAAGCTCTTCGGAGCGCGACGCGCTGTGCATGGCGCGTTGTGCATAGCGTAAGTACACGTGCGCTCGTGTCAGAGTCTCGTAAAGTAATAAGCTCCCTTCAACCCTTTCCAGGTGATGATGATACAGCGTTCCTCTAGGGACGATACATCGCGATAGACGAACCAAAAGCCGTTGACTCACCCGGTTCAGATAGTAGCGTAGATGCATCGATAAACGATGAATTATCGAATTCGCGGACACCTCAATTATTCACTCATTTGATACTTGTATAAAATGTGTGAGTGTACCGAGTGCAACACCGATATTAGTTATTCGGATTTACGTATAACGTTATAAGCTGCCAGCGATCCCTGATGAATATCATTTTCAACGTCTCTAATTTCTATCTCTATATAATTTGAAACATTGAAATTCTTTTCCGAAATATTACATTCCTTTTTATAAAATAATTTTTTCACGCTGGAAAATTCTAATTTTATTTGAAATTCTAAGGCGAGTACATTTTCTACGGCGAAGATATTTTCTTTTACTTAAGAGACTTGTTTAGAAACTAATAAGATACGAAAAACAGCGAGGAGAAACGTTTGGAGAAAAGGTAAGTTCACGTTTATGCATTAACTTTTTAGCTGTACGGTAAAATGGCTTTTTACAAATTTATATTACCGACAAATATAAGAGTGTCGTACAATATTTTAAATTGTACATTATTGTCGATTAAATTAAATTTCACGCCACATAACAAATTTTGCAGTAAATTATATTACAATTCTAACTGATAAAAGGAAAATGGAAAGTAAAATCGTCGTGGAGAAAGTGACAGCGGCTCGTCAGTTTCATCGATTAAAAATTGCCCGCTTTCGGGTCTCGAGAATTTGGAAAACAATGAAAATCATGACTAATACACACAGTAGGTATACATTATGTCACGCAAATATCTTATATTCTCTTTTGTCGAGACGAAAGTAAATTGCATCCTTACGTAATGAGCGACGAGAGAATCTCAATTGTCGAGATGTAATGCTCGGTTCAAGAGGTCGTTCGCTGAAATTAGATGGGGGGAATGTAAGGAGACGGAATATTCGGTGCGCGACGTAATGGTATATTTGTATAGCTGAGTATCTTGTAACGGTTTTTCGGCGTTGCGTCGCTCGCTGGCGCCGTATCGGTCGTTTGTTGTTACGGCGCTCGTGACCTTGTTTACGGTCGAGCTCGAGAGCGGCAGTCACGCCTTTCGTCGCGCGCGTCCCGTTTACTCCTCCGGCGATCGCGCGCGGAGTAAACGTGTTATTTCCTACAATTAGCAATTAGACGCCCAATTAGATCGACTGTCAATTTCCGTGATTTCCAAGCGTATCGAAGTAGGGATCTCGTGCAGATTAGCTCGCGTAAAACGGGAACTCGTACGTGAAATGGAGGAATGTGTATCGCATCCTCGCGATAGATCCTTCGGAATGGATATTCGAACAGGCTCGCGGAACGTGATATGATTACAGCGGCGTTCATATTTCAACATATTCTGCTTAATATATACGAATTCGATTTTGAGATTTGCAATAATCGAAGTTTTCGATATGCACTTTTCGATGGTTCGTTGCATTTTAGGATGCTTTCTGTTAGTACAGCGACGTATCGTTCTATCTTCCCTGACATTCGTTGAGTATGAATAGAACAGCAGTTGTGTCTACTTGTGTGTGTCACGAAATAAACAGTATCCTTAATCCTGAGTACACACGATCATTCGTGTTCTGCATATTTCATTTTTTCGACAAACTAGGAGCATATCAGGTAAGAGAAATGTACGTACCACAGTTATATAGTGGATCTGACCCAATTCGTTGGACAAAGTACAAAATTTTAAATATTAAGCTTTCAACGATACGTACGACTTAAAATAAATTTGCTGTTTATACAAATTTAATGATACATTTACCTATTTAGAATAGTAAAAGCTTAATATTTGCAATGTTTTGTCACTTTGTCCAACAATTGGTTCATGTGTACTAAAAGTTAAGGTACATTTACCTTAATTAGTTATAATATTTTTTATTTACAATTTTTTATATGTGTACTTTGTAAAAAAATCTAATTGGCTCAGAGAATTAAAAATTTAAACGTAAAATGTGCAATAAGCACAAAGTTAGCATTTTTTATAATATAAAACAAGCAAGTATATTTTGCCAAACGGTTTTTTCGAAACCATTTTCAGTGAATAACTCACTTAAAAATTAACCATAATTAAATTCAATTGTCGATCGAACGCCGCAAGACAGTCGTATACAATCGAATATTTTTTTAAGTATACACAAGAATTATTCAATAATTCTTGTATATATTTGTTAAAAAATTATAAAAATTAATCCGAGATACAGAGATTCGTGTGTATTGAGGATTAATTAGATATTGATTTGACTCGTGTCGAGTCGAACGGCAGCAGTTTTTCGACACGGCCATTTCGAGCATTAACGAAATATCGCGGTCCACAGGGAGGATCGATGTCGAGTCGCGGCGGCGCGGCGACGCGATGCGTTCGATTGGTAAATATCCTCATAATTAACTCTCGTCTTTTAATATCTACAGATCGTGTGACATAAATGATATAAATTCGGGGGGGGGGGGG